CATAATAGGTATAGCTATAATATGTCACTAGATTTTATGCGAGTCCAGTGCAAGCCTTAGTTTCTTTTCACTAGCAAACTGCTGTAAGGAAATTGTATCCATATTTAGCTAGGTGTCTTCCTATGTCTGTGTTCAGCCCTTCACTCTGTTTTGCCTTCATGTGTTTTTGCCTTTATGTCACGCAGCTGAATGATTACAACTACCATGTAGACATGGCAGTATTATTGGCATTGCGCACACACACCACTTCCATGTAATTTTAATTATGGTTTATCTTCTCTCTCTCATTTCGATGGTGTGGGTTCAGATCCCACCGCTGCCACCATGTAGTGTTATTGACTTGACCGTAAGTAGTAACTTATTCGATGACTCCCTATGGTATATACAACACAGGTGAGTATTTATACTCTAGGTAAAAGTAGGAAGTGGTATCGCACAATGGATGAGGAAAAGGAATGGGTGAATAGGTGATAAGTATTAGTATGAGTATTTCCTATCTTAGTGGTAATGGTTAGTCAATACATGAATAAGGCCTAGTCAATAGTGGTGATAACGAGTGACCATTCCACATTATGTTAACATGTATGCCCATGACAATAGGCTTCGTTTTTAACTACATTTAGAGCTTGAGGTTCTTTTCTTGGCATCACTTCATCGTATGTATGGGGATATTGACGTGTTACTCCCGGCTTAGTCTTTATCTGGTGCAAAATCAAGCAACAGCTGCCTAAAAGAATTCCAAGTGAGAGTGTTATCAATAAAAGAGCTCCGACGATGATTAATAATGTTCTGTACAAATGAATATCCGGTCCATTTGAATTTGTACAATCATTTTCCTGCAAAAAGGAAGTAAGATTCTGGCAGTACCTTTTTAAATGGATCAAAAATACCTGGAATATGAACACATTTATAGTTTGAAGGATTAGGAATCCAGCTACCGTTTCTGTTGCACTTTACCACCTGTGATTCATCATTTTGCAGTACCAGGCCCTTGTCACACTGGATTACTGCCATGGATCCTACTTTAGTTGTAGTGTAATACACTGAAACATTGCTAAGAACTTCGGGAATTCCACAGTCAACTATATATAATGAATAAGAATTATACATGGATTAATTTATGCTTATAGCCTGGTTCCAGGTGTTTCCTTTGATGTTTTGAAGTGTTTGTTCAAGCTAGATCCACCCCAGACAAGCCAGTGCACGTATCTGGACCACAGTTCATGTCGTGCACTCACCATGATAACTCTCGGCGCGCATGCGCAGCAAAGGGTTACGGTAGTTGTCGTGTGTCAGTCCGTTCGACGTAATCTCACTTCACGAGCCATCAATCGCTCCAAAAATAATACAACGTGTTCAGCGTCGGGTATAGGTCGGAAAATATGTAGGGTTTTCTCTGAAACTGCTACGTTTGGTGCGTTTGGGAGTTAAGGCGTGAAACATGAGCGAAAACTAATTAGAACAGGCTTATCCTGAGCGGGTCCGCTTGCTCTGTGTGTCTTGAAGGCACAAGAAGTCACAACAAAGGGCCTGCATCGACTCCCGCATCCTATCTACTGCTGTAGCAGCACGTGTCAAACTCTCCGCGAGCTAGATACTAGCGGGAGACTGCAGAGTAAACGCATACTAATAGCCCAGCCCATCAATTAGCGGTATATACCGCGCAAGCGCGGTGCGCCGAGGGTTTGCACTTTAATTCAGCACAGCTGCTGTCTGAACAGTGCTATGAAAAACACCTGGACCACAGGCTATAAACATCTCAAAACACCCATTATCGTGATCTGGTAGTACACACGTACGCCCTCAACCCTCGCGCGCTACGCGCACTCGGGCTTCGTTCGTGTAGCCAGATCCCTCAATGGGGGTGTTTTAACTAACCTTGCTTAGTACACTCTAAAGCAGTGATGTTTGGTTCCCATTCTCCAGAGGTTAAACATTTAGCAACCATAGTTTCAGCCGGTTCATACCCACTGTCGCATTTATAAACAATTATTGATCCAAAAATACTGCTTTCGTTTTCAATGTGGGCGTGTGGTGGTAGTAGGGGAGTGCTACAATTATGATTTTGCTGTAAAAAAACAATTATTTTCATATTTTCTATACCTTGCCAGTATGCACAATATCTTGCAATTCCTGATAACTGGTATCGGCTGCTATATCTGGAAAAACAATACAATAATGCGCAATTAGATTTTAATCCTCTTTTATTGGCTCCCATGCATGTTGACTCACACAACTTAAACATTCACCTTCAATACTGATATTGACAGGTGGGCTATAACCTGCACAGTTTGCAGCGTAAAGTTGTAAACTGTAGTGCTCCATGTAAAGAAGTTTAAAAAACAACTTGTATCCCATTTCATTATATATGTGTTGGGAAGATGTCCCTCTGAGTGTAGTTGTGTAATTTGATATTCCCAAACCACCATCACTCTGTGGTCGTTCCCACTCAAGTTGAAGAGAAACACTAGATATTTCGAATGATGTAATTGTGTACACAGAAGACACTGGTGCAGATGGAGAAACTAGATATCAAAAGAATTAATCTCAATACTAGTTTTCTGAATAAAACTAACCACCATATGTATGAAGGATGCAAGGAGACTCTGTTTCAACCACAAAGCCATTACCACACCATACTTTCTTATTATCAAAATGATTGTGAGCCAATATTGTTAGGGTGGAGGTTATATTTCCTATGTATTCCCCAGTTTTATCCTTGAGAATAGCAAGTAATAACCCTCCTTGTTCCTGTACCACTTTTCCGATTGCATCATACTCGACAGTGAGAATGATTGAGTCTCCCTCAAATGTATGGAAAGACTCCACTGCCCATTGCAGAACACCAGTGTTGGCCACAGTACATGTATATATCACAGATTCTCCTGGACAAGCTGCTGTCCTATTCTCATATTCAAGGCTTGAAGAGAGCTCAACTCCATGCGTTGATTGCACACAATTATCTTTTTGAAATGATTATGATTATCTCATATAGCTAACTACAAAACCATAATAAAATTATGTTTACCTGACCAACCGTTTTTGCTGAACTCATTCACTGTAAGTAGCAAAATGACTTTTACTGGGATCTTCATGTTTCTCAGTCTCTTACCCTCTATGACTAACGCGCTCTTGAACTTCGCGCGCGCATGCGCACCAGCAAATTAATGTTTTGCTGCCGATCGCGCGCGGACGGCAGAGAGAGAGTCGGTTCGCAGTTGGATGACACTATATTTTCGTGAAAAGTTGGTTTTTAGCGATTTATATACGGACGATTTTGTCACGAAAGTTCTTAGTTACGATTGTAGCTGACACAAGTAAGATGAGCACTATCATATATACGACAAATGATTTTTTAATACTATAGCTAAATGTATTCTACTGAGGTCTCCAAGTTTTTCTTGATATACCAATATGCTCCATTTTTCATCATTTCTACTCTTTCAGCATGTACAAGAGTATGAGGTCTACCAGTAGTGACTGCCACAGATGGATGAGTTGGATCGTCTATGCTCGTATAGTAAGCTTCAGTTTCCCGTGAGCCTAATGGATTGTGCAACACTCCATCTCGCTCTATGGCGTGTGATGCAACCTCAGTGTAGATTCCATACAAGTCATTGGAGTCGTAGTGATGAACCTCTTCAGATTCTGGGGCACTCTTTCTGCATGCCCTGCAGGAGAACACAGTGCAGCAGACTAGAACGGAGACACCAACCAATGCCAATATGACCACAGCTACAGCAACCAGCACGATCCATAATATGCCCTGTAGTTCAGTCCCATTGTCAGAGCCGGTTTCAGGTGACGAGGTTGGAGTTGGGCTCTTTTCAACTGTAACACTTTCTACATCCTCAGTAGTGTCTTGGTAGAAATGAATGGGATCATAGTGTGCCGTATACTTTCATGTACACATTGAGTAAACTTACTACTGGAAGGTGAGGGCAAGAGCTCTTGGCCACCTGTCTGTGGTGCAACTGGTGCTCTGGGTGTAGTGGTAGGTGGACTTGTGGTGGGGTTTGGTAAAGCAACAGAGATCGCAGCTTCATCTCTGAAACTGCCACCAGACCGAGTAGTCCCGGAGCAAATAAATGTCGCTATTGTGTTCTCAACTCTACTGGATCCGGAAGAAACACTCATCGTTGATTGAATAGAAGGGTCCATATCTTGAGAGGTGACAGTGGAAGATAGAGTGATGCCTTCGGTGACGGGGAGATCCACTGTCGCAGAGTCAAGTATCATCTCCAGGTTGAGAGTTCTGCTGATTGCTAGGTATGAGACACTCCACTGCATGGTTAGTACATCTGTATTTACTCTACAACCAAATGTACATAATGCAAATTACTGCTACAAACTGTGCAGGAATGGGCCCACCTGCTAACATTACTAGCATCTACTCTGGTATGTTTACATTTGTTGAGATATAAGAGTCTGTGATCATTATTACAGTGAGCTGCGGACTTCCAGATTTGTTATCAGCTAATGCCAGTAACCAGGAAAACACAGTCATACCCACACACGAGGGAATTCAATTAAAGTTTGTGTGTGCTGATGATGAGGAAATTGTCTTGAAATGTTCAAGCAATAGCTCCTGGACTCCAGACCCATCGGAAATCAAGGTTCGACATAATTTTTGAGGTACACACAAAGAATTCCCCACACTATATCACTAATGTGAAATAGTCATTGCTCTATAGTGATGCAGCACACTGCAGTGCTCCGATGCTACCGCCACATTCACACACAGATAAAAAAAGAAGTGTTCTCGGAACAGTGCTTATCTACCAATGTGACAGAGGATATGTACCAACTGAACTGATGGTGTCCAAGTGCTCTTCGTCTGGAGAATGGACACCAAATATCACTGCTCTAGAGTGCACCAAACAAGGTTAAAGGAATTCATAATACATATTTTAAACAATTCTTCTGCAGTCGACTGTGAAATTCCACTTGCACCACTGGGTGGTACTCTTCACCACACTGGCACTGAAAGAGGCTCAAAGGCCCTTATCGAATGTAGCGGAGGTTTGGAACTACAAGGAGATGATGTGAATCGTGTGGCTGTGTGTACAGCCAATGGGACCTGGTTCCCCGATCCTTCCACTCAGAGATGTTTTGAAACAGGTGTGTCCCAGCTGCTTTGGCATCATAATTATGATTTTAAGCATTTTTGCAGAGACATACTTTTTGAGTCCCAAAAACAAACGTGAAGATGCTGTTTACTTGTATCTTATCACTGGAGGAGCTGTGTTTTTTGGTTTCGTTTCCTTTGGGGATTTTACTTGGTTGTTTTTACTCTCAATATCAGAAGCGAAGAGCGAATCACAGGAATAAACAACTCCCTGTATATGAGGAGGTGAAAGTGAAAGAACCTCGGAAAGATCAAGCACAAACTTCTACTGTTATGATGATAGAAAATGAGGCATACTCTGTACATAAAGTTTTGCATCAATGAGCAAATGCAAACCCTCGGCGCACTGCGCATGCGCAGTATCAGTAATTGATGGGCTGGGTCGAGGGCTGGGCTATGATCGAGTATAGTTTGTGTCCCAGCTTGTAGCTACATTGCTAAAGCCTGCCCATGAAACCACCACCCTGTGCACAGATGCCATAACCTTACGCCCTGGTATAGGAGACAGTACACTGTCTCTGTGTCTATCTACTGCCCCCTGCCTCAGGCATCAGCAGCCATAGCTACTGCTTACAATTCCTCATCCCCATGGTCAACACATAACCATGCAAATCAGATTGACAATAAAAAAAAAGTAGTGTTGTCACAGCTGTTCATTAAAAAATTAGTGGAAAATTATTTTTTCTAAATGAAGGGGGACCCGGATATGGGGATGGCTCGAAGCACCAAATAAAGGAACAAAACAAGGGGTCATTACACAGCAAAGATACACCATCCCTTTATCTTTGTTCTATTGACTCATAGGCAAATAATGTCAAACAAAGATATATATATATATATATATATATATAATGGATGGTGTCATGTATATAGCTTTGTGTATCTTTGCTGTGTAATGACCCCTTGTTTGTTCCTTTTTTTTGTGCTTCGAGCCATCCCTATATATCCTCTTTCATTTGGAAGAAATTATTTTTCCACTTGTATAAGTTTCAAAGTCAATTTACTGCAATGTCTACCATGATGTTGGAACAAATGACAAAATTGTCCCACAGTTAGGTGACAGATCTAGATTTTAAAAAAAAAAATTTATGACAACCGACTCGTTTTTCGACTCTAGAAATGTAATACTTCGATTAGCAAATGTTCCAGAGAAAATACAATAGTAAGGTCCATATACAAATAGTGTAGTACATAATTGGCGAGCGGGAGCGAGCTAACCTAGTGGTCCAAACGGCGCGATTTACGACCGACCGCTTACGTCGTGTAAGTGCGCATGCTCCAGGATTACGCGCTTCTTTTTATCCGAAATGATTTCAAAATTTCACATGCGGCCTGAAGTGTCGTGCGTGTAATAGCTCCGTACTCTCGCGTCAGTCTGAGAGGGTGCCATTCATCGTCGAAGAGAGAGGGAAAGAGAACGTCGTGTCAGTGAGACTCCTGAGAAGAGAACGCGCATATTTTTTACACGCTGCCTAGCTGTCATATCGATGCGAAATCTCAGCGAAAGAACTCTCGTCTATTCGCTGGCATTCGCTGCGCTCTTCAATACCTGACCGAGGCTGTATATACCTCTTTCCAATCTTCGTGGTTCTAAGGTTCAAGTTGTAAATAGGCTAGGATGGCTAATGCAGATGCAGCCATTGTGTGCTCGCTCCCGCTCGCCAAAAATGCCATGCATTCGCCTACTATAGTTAAATATTGTAGTAAATTTTACATAGTGGACAAATTACCTGACGCACATTTTTGAGAATAAGTTTGTGGAGCCTCGCACCGTGCGCATGACCCAACCGCAGTTCACGCTATAGCTACATCCGTGCGCACGAACCACAGTTCGTTGAGCTTCCGTGCGCAATATCGTGAGAACTCATCGAAGAGAAGCTAGCGACCTCGAGACGTCTGCAGAGTAACCTTTTTCTTCCGTCGCAACGCGTGATGGTTACCGATTGTGGCTAACCCTCTGATCCATCTGCAACGATCACAAAAGCAAGGGTTGTTGCAGTTTTGTTGTAGCTAGCTACAGCTGCACGGCACCCCCCTGGAGGTAAGAAAATAGCTAACCTTGCTAGTACCGGAGTTTAGCTAGCTAGTGGTCTTGCTATGCAAGGACATGAACAAGCAAGCTACTAGGTATACTTGGATAGACACTTGGGACTGCTCTTTGCATCCACAGAGTAGTATTTGTGACATAGGGGTACTGCTTTTCCCTGGATCTGCATGATCAACCTTCTGCATGCAGAATACCTACATTAATTACCCCTTAGAACAATATAAGTTATACTCTTCTTGTTGTCATTAGAATACAATTGTTTGTTAGCTATCCTACAGAGAGGTTTATATATAATTGAGTCATGTATGATGACTTAAGATGATATGGGTGATAAAACTTCAGTAATTTGCCATAACAGGGATCTCTACGTCATAGCAGCATGACATCATCTGATTTCTAATTATTGCGCTGCAGTATACGGCCATTTTGCTATATAGCTGGCAGCGACTACACGTGTAAAACATACGATACAATGGTGAGTTTGCTATGAATTTTAGCCCTGTTAGAGTTGTAATGCCGTTTTGGGGGTGTTTCTACAGAGATTTGGGTGTTCATAGGGATCGTAGTGTACGTTGGTTGTGTGTATATATACTTCCCAACCACATAACTCTTCATGCATGTCCACTGTATCGCCTGCACTCTAAACCTTTAGTGTTTTGGGTGTGTTTTGTGTGGGTATTATATGCAAATGTGTTTGACTGAGCTTTCAATTGCTCCACATTAGGTTTTGAAACCCTGCAGACTCCTGCTTTTGGTACATCCGTTTCTGTTGTTTCATTCAGTGTCCATAGCAGAAAATGGTATTGTTAAAGGTAATGACAGCCTTTGTGTGTGGATTGAGGACCTCCATACCACGCAACTTCACATACACACACACACACACACACACACACATATTCAGCCCCTCCATGTGCTAAGCCTCAATCAGGGGTAAACACAAGGCAAATGCATATAAACTCAGGGGCGGATCCAGCATTTGAAGAAGGAGGGGTCAGCTAGGGGGGTCTGGGGTCATGCCCTCCCAGAATAATTTTTGATTTCGAGGACTAACAGAATTTATTCTAGTGCATTCTCAGTCAATTTCTCGACAATGAAAAACATCAAATCATGACAGTAAATGTGTGCAAGTGTGCAAAAAGCAAAAAATCCACGATCACGTGTCGAGTACTGTGGTCTCTTTAGCCATACATGACCTTTGCACTTGTGCGTTATTTAGAGTAGGTCCTTCGCGGAGCGCGGTGCGATTCGCGGTTGCAGCGTCGTGCCCTGGTGGACGGTGCCGTGGGGTCTCTGGCTGCCAGGTCGACGAAGCTGTGGTTGAAGGGGGGGTCAGCTGTCCCCCATGACCCCTGAAACTACACCTAGCACAACAGAATAGAGCTGCCTTGGGTATGGTAAAACATGCATCTAAGCCGTTTAAATTTAATACTATGTCTGGCTCTTTCCTATTTTTGTCATACTTTCAGGTGCTGTGTATGTTAATGGCCACTGTGGGGAAAAGGTTTCCCATATATTGGAGATATCTGGGGCAGTGGGAGGTGAAATGGCTTCTGCAGATGAAACAATTAGTTTCACGAGTCAACAGAAGAGCATGGTAGTAGGAATATTTGGGGTGGTTTTTGAGGAAACTCAAATCTACAACAACGGTAAGATGACAAGTTTTCAAAAAAACTGGCAAAAAATGATGTTTTTGTTGCTTTTGAAGGAACACAATGCAACTATACGATGACCATAACTATTGAGATAGAAGGAGACCAACAACGGTGTCTCATAATATCTGTTGGGGAGGAATATTATGTCTGCACCAATCTACTATGTAAGTGAGTCTTTGGTATTTGAAACTTTGTCTCTAAAAGTATTGAAGACACTATTCCTGGTTCCTTTCTCTAACAAATCTCATATCCCCTTAGAAGACTTGCCAGAGAATATTTTTTCTTTGGCAGGTCATATTGTAGGTGTAAACGAAGCAAATTGGCAAACATAGCAAAGCTGTCTTATTCTTTGATGCTGTCACATTTGACATTACACACACAAAAACCTCCTCTATAGCTATATCTATAGCAAACCTCTTCTATAGACTTGATTACCAAAAAAATTTTTCACATTTGTTTGACGCAGATAGCTCTCTGCAGCCAAACATTCTTTTTATTATGCACACCTTAATCTTAATCATGAGAGTTATACTGACAGATTTCGTATTGCTTGTGCAGCACCACCCCTCTCTCTGGAGAGTAGTCCTGATGGCGACTTATTAATCTTGACTAATGTCAGCGTCAGCTGGTACGGCTCCAATGTGACCCTCTCCTGTCCCGACTGCCGTAACACAGACTTAGTGACCTTGCCAACGAATACAACAATGGGCAACTTTGTGATTCCTCTTTCGAAAGTGTTCAGCTCAACAAGTGACGAGCTTATAGTTGCTGTGACTGTTACCAATACGTGTGGAGAGATATGGAATGGTACATTAGAAATAGGTATGTTTTCTTTCTCAGTATAGCTATATACACAGGATTTGGTTAGAGCTGGTTGCTATAGCACTGGTGAATGTAAGTCACATTCCCTATAAAGTTGTCCGCAGCAGACACTTTTCACGCAAGTGAATTAGCCTTTAAGGATCACGTGCAATACATTTAACTTGTGTGGAGGGCCAGGAATGAGGATAATCCCTAAAAAAAAATCATTATTATTGTGAAATCCCCGAGTGATTGGTTTGTCCGTAATGTAATGTGTGTTTGTAGCTTGACACTTTAGCTGTGTTAATTTTTAAGGTTCAACAAGTGAGAGTACCACCACGATCGATGAACCACCTCGGGATTCAGGACATGCTACATCTGTTACTCCTCTTTTCAGTGAGTCTATGAGAGAGTTCCGATAATGGTTTAATTGTTCACCATTCCACTACGTACCTCACTTACAGGTCGAGTATGTGTAATTATTGCACTATCCATCACTATCCTTTTGTAATATGTAATGTAACATAATACAAACTTCACACATTACTGTATTTATCAACTGCCACTGTAATGTGTTCTAAATGCCGTGCAATGATTGTTGTAATGTTGATGTTGGTGATTGAATACATTATGTCTACAATGAACACTAAAGAGTAACTAAGCACGTGGGTCTCGAGGGAGAGAGAAAGAACGGAAATAGATACCAGAATGTTGTGACGATTGCCCACACTTACTGGTCTTCCCCAGTACCCAGACCAATGCCATGTTTAGTCCTCAAGACTGCATGCATTTATGTGCACAGGATGAATCAGTCAAGTCTGAGAAACTCATTTTTGGAAGGAAAACAACCAGCTTATATACATCTGAAATTTAACCCAGAAAGCTGGTACTGGCTAACAACGTACAAAGTAACTATCTTGTTGTCCCCGGTTACCAGACCGTTATTATGTTTAATCTTGAGAGCACTCATTTGTTTTTGTGCATATTTAGAACCTCTCATGAATAATTCCCTTTGATGTTGAGTGTAGTAATCAAGTGTCTAAAACCCGTAGTAGTGGGTCTGCCAGGTAGCTATCTAAGTACAGTTGCAAGTTAGATCACTGTGAAGAATTTAGATCACTGAGGTTTCACAAAGTCATAATAATCGAGGAGAGGGAAGGCCATTTGCTCCTAGCTTCGAGACTGCCGCCGAGCTCATCATACAAGCATCGCAGCGCTCAGCCCGCGTCGCTTGGACGATTTGTTGTTGGTCGCTATGTCAGGCGTTTCCCGGTAGAGAGTTCGTTCCATCAAACGCCCGACTACTGAGCGACAAACAACAAATCGTCCAGATAAAGCGACGCGGGCTGAGCGCTCCAGTGGCAGTGTCTTGCTCAGGCGGGGCTTGCAGGATATATCCGTCCAGTTGCGGCGATGCTTGTATGATGAACTCGTCCTGCTCGGCGGCAGTCTCGAGGCTGGGCCTTCGCCGTTTCCCAGTCGGGCAGAGCCAACTGGGTAACGGGTCTCACACACTATCGAAAAGACTAAGCGAAACTGCGCTCTCCGTGCCGCGGTTCTAAGCCGGTTAGACCACTGAACTCGTCTCGTGGGTCGGGATGCAATAGTGACTCGTTGCAGTAATCTAACCTACACATAGGACATCTTCCTTTTGCTGTTCAAGCACAAAAAGGGCTTTTGTGTAGCTACATGATCTCCTGTACTCTACAGGAAGTCATGTGAGGCCTAGCTACATGGCACTAAACTTTTTGAGTTACCAACATAAATTTTATGTGACACATTTAATACAGATGTATGCTACACAAGTAATGGGCAAGAGCCCATCGTGTTAATGAGACATGTGATCTAGAAAAGCAGTGGTCAAATATCCTCTGCCGAGTTATCGAGTTTTCCACGGTTCCAATATGCTACATTTTGAGACATTTTTACTCTGCCAATGTGCACAGCTGTCATGATATCTTGTGATCTATCACCAGTAGTGACTGCCATGTGTGGATGAGTTTCATCATCAATACTCGTATAGTAAGCTTCAGTTTCCAACGAGCCTAATGGAATGTGCAACCCTCCATCTCGGTCTGTAGCTCGAGTGTGTGATGCAGTCTCAGTGTAGATTCCATGCAAGTCAATGCTGTCGTAGTGATGAACCTCTTCAGATTCTGGGGCACTCTTTCTGCATGCCCTGCAGGAGAACACAGTGCAGCAGACTAGAACGGAGACACCAACCAATGCCAATATGACCACAGCTACAGCAACCAGCACGATCCATAATATGCCCTGTAGTTCAGTCCCATTGTCAGAGCCGGTTTCAGGTGACGAGGTTGGAGTTGGGCTCTTTTCAACTGTAACACTTTCTACATCCTCAGTAGTGTCTTTAAATCTGACTGAATCTGCTGTATTACGTTGTTAGATAGGTAGAAATGAATGGGATCATAATGTGCCGTATACTTTCATGTATACATTGAGTAAACTTACTACTGGAAGGTGAGGGCAAGAGCTCTTGGCCGCCTGTCTGTGGTGCAACTGGTGCTGTGGGTGTAGTGGTAGGTGGACTTGTGGTGGGGTTTGGTAAAGCAACAGAGATCGCAGCTTCATCTCTGAAACTGCCACCAGACCGAGTAGTCCCGGAGCAAATAAATGTCGCTATTGTGTTCTCAACTCTACTGGATTCAGAAGAAACACTCATCGTTGATTGAATAGAAGGGTCCGTATCTTGAGAGGTGACAGTGGAAGATAGAGTGATGCCTTCGGTGACGGGGAGATCCTCTGTCGCAGAGTCAAGTATCATCTCCAGGTTGAGAGTTCTGCTGATTGCTAGGTATGAGACACTCCACTGCATGGTTAGTACATCTGTAGCCCTGCAAACCAGTGTGGCTGTTCCGTCTCCAAGGGTTTTAACATCCAGAGATGCTGCTATATAGGGACAGAGAGACAGACAGACAAGACAAGACAGAGAGAGAGAGAGAGAGTCACCAGGTTAGCATTTGTGTACAGCTAGCTGCATATTACAGGCCTCACCTGAAGATTGATGAAACAAACTGCTTATAAACATTACTAAACCTACAGCAGCAGGATAACATAGTGGCTTGCCCAACAAGCTATACATAGCTGTATACTCTTGAGCTAACCTGCATAAATCAAACTTCAATCCTAACAAACTCCAGGAAGGTTCTTTTATTTAATTCACTGCATGGGCAACATCATGTGGCAAATTATGTTCCATCTGTCTTCTCAAGGATGTTGCGTAAGGTTATTCTCGCTAAGTGGGGAACCCAGCCACTCTAGAGATTCAATGGAGGATGAGGAACTTGTGTGGGAACATCCTATTTCATGCCCATATATATACTTATAATAAAGAGTGTGGATGCAATATTGGTAGAGTGAGTAATGGATCGGGTGTAGTTGCAGTTCTTCCATTTATGGATTTTAGCTAGCTATCTACTCACAATTTGGTTGAATAACAAAGAAGAGTGTTTGTCAGGCAATCCATCAGAATATAACAGGATATAAAAGGGAGGGAATTGTCCAATTATTGTGAGGGAGCTGATTTTGCGACACATGGGTCAGAGATTAATCGTGACAAAACGGAGTTTAGCAAAACTCACTGCAAATGAATCCTGGGAACAAAGCTGCAATAATTATGAGACAAGGCATGACGCTGAGTGCAACATGTATACATACACTATACAGTGATATCCTGTGATACAAGGTGTAGAGCAGTTGGTTCATGTGTCATGAGAGGATATCTGTTGTGGTGGTGAAAGCATGTCACTGTGCTAATGCATTATGCGCAAGTTGACATGTGCACTTCCGTCCTGGCTCCATTTCAAGAGCTGCCCACATACCTATTAATTGGATGACAAAATAATGTAGTAAACAAAATTACATAATAGGTGTGTACCTACACTCCCACGAGTCCTCATAATGTTTCGATATCCCATTTTTATTCCACTTGTAAAGTTTGCTCTTTAGGCTGTGAAGAGAGGTGAGCTACGCCAACTATGTTCACATAGCAAGGTTCAGCCTCTTACAGTGGGGTTAGCTTTGAGTCAGTGTTTCTGTGAGAGAGGCCGCTGAGTTCAAACTTGGTAATAGAGACACAATATTATGGAACTCAATGCATGCGAGTGCAACTGGAAACTTACACATGCACCCTGCAATAGCTTATGCTGGGAATGAAACAGTTTTCTGAGTTAACAATTATTGTGGTTTTTTATCTGCCCATGTTAGTTTCCTGCTACACTAAGCAGAGGAATTATTTGTCCTCTTTATTTGGTTTGTCTTTGTTGGTCTTATCCCACTTCCTTATTTGCTCATTTCAAGAGCTGTCCACGTAATATGATATAAAACCACTTGATCAGTTATAGTACACACATACATTTATGTGGGTGTGTGACATGTAATGCACTAGGCTAAATGTACTCTCCTGAGTCCTCAAAAACGTTTTCTCTGATGGCAGGATATGCCACGTTTGTTATCATTTCTATGCTGTTTGTTCTTTTTTCTTCATCACCAGTAGCTGTGACAGATGGACGAGCTTGACCATCTATAATCGTGTAGTAAGGTTCAGTCTGTTCTGGTGGTACACGTGTCTCCAATCCTCCCAAAAACGTCTGCAGAGACTGAGCTTCCTGGTGGTCTGATGCGGAAGCCATCTGGACGTACTCCAACTCGGTCCCATCGTCCTCTTCAGCCAGTCTATGTATGGCAGCAGTAGTGGTGGGTGTTCTAGGGCCGTGTGCCAATGAGTAGATTCCATGTGAGTCAATGTAGTCGTAGTAATGCACTCCCTCTGTGGGCTGTGCACGGTTTTTACCTGCCCTGGATTTCAGCACCACACAGCAGACTGCAATGGTGACACCCACAAACACTATGAGTAGAGCTACGGTAGCCGCTGCAATCCAAATGCCAAGTGGTACAGTTTTGAAGCTACGTTCAGGTGACGTGGGGTCAGGTGATGTGCTGGAACCTGGTCTAATAGTGACTGGGTTCATTTCCATGTCTTTGCTGTTGTCATTTGGCTCTTCACGAGGCGCAGTAGGATTTACTTCCTCTGGTCTAGTGGGATCTGCATAATCAAATGTTGTGTGTGTGTGAATGCACAGGTGTAGTAGTTGAAATTCTCTCATAAATGCCTCACCATTCTCTTTTGACCCCGTGGGTAATTCATATAGCTTAAACCCCTATGCTTATGGATTTGTGGAGGCGTAACACATTATGTATGGTGGCTGGGTAAGTGTTAAACCTCTACCATGCTTTAACCAATGTGATTTGTGAACTCACTCCTGAATAGTGGCGGAGCATTGGTGGGATGAAGTTCTGCACTGCTGGTCTTTGGTGCATCTGACAATCCTGCCAAATTCATTATGCATGAATGTCCCGATGGTTAAATTGTAGAGTGCTTAACTCACTTGTCGTGGTTGTGGATGGGCCTATAATTAACTTGAGGTCTTCATCAGTGGTTGTTGGTGGATCTAAAAGTAAATGCTCTAATGCAGATAAAAGTATAATGCCACTTACTAGGATATTGTGGATATGTAGCTGAGGGCATTGGTATTGGTGGCAAAACTGCAGGAAATAAATTAACTCTGAATAATGCTATTATTTCTCTTTATCGTTGCAGCTAGTAGAAGGGATCATTCGTAGCATTAGGATTAGCAGAGAACACTTTATAAACTTACCACCAGAGCATCTCAGTAGAGGGAAGGATAGTAGCAGGAGATACACAAAGCCTGGAAAGGACAAAAAGGGAAGAAACATACTGTTTAATAGATTACTGAAGGGTAAAATCTCCATACATTCCATCTTTGTGGAGACCTCACTATACAGAGATATACGTCTGATGACTGAAGCAGAGACGACTGAAGCAAAGACTACTGACTCTCAAGGGGGTCTGCAGCTGTTTTATACTCTTGGCATTGAAGCATAAACTCTGTATCTGTCTAGACTCTGTGTACAATTAAAGACGTTGTGGTGTGAATCATAGTAAACATGGTGGGTTTGATATCTGTGTATAGGAGAAACAGGGGAATTGGGGTGGGTGTGACTTCCTTACAGAGATTCAGTATATAATGGTTAAAATCTGTTCCTGACAACTTAATAAGGAATTTGTTACAGCATTATTATGTAACCTCCTGTCGTTACTTAATGCTGGCTTAGGAACCGAAGATTATTCTGAGGTCACTTCCTGTACCTACAAACTATCTTTGTACAAATGTGATAGCATGAGGTGTCCAACAATATACTATGGGTAGTTCCTACCGCAGAGAATGTCATGTGCTGCCTTCCTCAGTAAATCTATATACCAATTTGAAGAAGCTCTTTGTATGCCAAATACTGAGTGTATATACCCCATTCGTCATTCTATGCCTTGTTGAAATGATAATAAGATGCCAATTGAACAATTTTGCAACTGCAAGCCTGCAGATGAAACTATCGTTGCTCATATTTATGATCCTGCTATCAAGTTGTTGTAAGAAACTCCCCGCTTCCCGCCTCGAGGATTAAAAGTGGCATGCTTCTAAAAGTGTTGTGATGATGGGTTTCCTAAGAAGGTCAAAACTACCTTCCCACGTGCTCCACCTGGTAAACCGGAGGAGTCCAAGGTCTGAAGAAGCAGTATGTACACACATCTGGTGGCATAACACAGCCGTGGCTTCAGACCACACAGGATGAAGACTAAATTTCTGCCCTTCTATAGTTTTCATGTGATGACATATGACACACCTGGACATGGAAACAACTATTGAGGAATATGCTGAGAATGCTACAACAGAGTAGATTTAGCCCTCAAAGCATTATTAGAGAGTCGGTAGACTCTCTATATAGGGATGACGCGGGTGAAATCTCACGTGATCCACGTACAAAACGACTAAAAACTCGGTGAGAATCACTCTCTAGGCCTTCAAAACACACTAGCAATAGTCTACGGGCCCATATCTACCTATGCATGTCCCCCAAGACCTCATACGCACCTTCAGTCGTCCACGCGAGAATTCATTGTTTGTCCGATTACCAAAGCCTGCCCATGAAACCACAGCCATGTGCAATAATCAAATTACATCCTTTTTGAAGACAATACATCAGGTGAATGCGGTATCTAGCCCCTGCTTCAGGCACTAGCAGCCCCATTAGCTACTACTTTTAACAGTTACAATTTGTCTATGATAGCCTATCTACAACATGCCCATGAACATCAGAGTGACTGTAATAATAAATGCAGTGTTGTCATAAGCTGTTAAAAATAGTGGAAACAAGTGGAAAAATCATTTCTTCAAAATGAAAGGGGGATATAGGGATGGCTTGAAGCACCAAAAAGGAAGAAACAAGGGGTCATTACACAGCAAAGTTGCACAAAGCTATACATGACACCATCCCTATATCTTTGTTTTATTGTTTATAAGCATCTTTGTTTTATTGTTTATAAGCAAAGTTTAATATCGAACAAAGATATAGGGATGGTGTCATGTAGCTTTGTGCAACTTTGCTGTGTAATGACCCCTTGCTTCTTCCTTTTTGGTGCTTCAAGCCATCCCTATATCCCCCTTTCATTTTGAAGAAATGATTTTTCCACTTGTGTATTAAGGGTTATAGTACACACATACGTTTATGTGGGCGTGTGACATGTAATGCACTATATAGGCTAAATGTACCCTCCTGAGTCCTCAAAAACGTTTTCTCTGATGGCAGGATATGCCACGTTTGTTATCATTTCTATGCTGTTTGTTCTTTTTTCTTCATCACCAGTAGCTGTGACAGATGGACGAGCTTGACCATCTATAATCGTGTAGTAAGGTTCAGTCTGTTCTGGTGGTACACGTGTCTCCAATCCTCCCAAAAACGTCTGCAGAGACTGAGCTTCCTGGTGGTCTGATGCGGAAGCCATCTGGACGTACTCCAACTCGGTCCCATCGTCCTCTTCAGCCAGTCTATGTATGGCAGCAGTAGTGGTGGGCGTTCTAGGGCCGTGTGCCAATGAGTAAATTCCATGTGAGTCAATGTAGTCGTAGTAGTGCATTCCCTCTGTGGGCGGGGCACGTTTTTTACCTGCCCTGGATTTCAACACCACACAGCAGACTGCAATGGTGACACCCACAAACATTATAATGAGTAGAGCTACGGTAGCCGCTGCAATCCAAATGCCAAGTGGTACAGTTTCGGAGCTACTTTCAGGTGACGTGGGGTCAGATGATGTGCTGGAACTTGGTCTAATAGTGACTGGGTACACTGGGTGACTTGTTGTGGTTGTGGATGGGCTTATAAATAACTTGTGATCTTCATCAGTGGTTGTTGGTGGATCTAAAAAAATCATTTTAAAATGCTCTAATGCAGACAAAAGTATAGTGCTCTTATATACTAGGATCTTGTGGATATGTAGCTGAGTTGGGATAGGGCATTTGTATTGGTGGAAAAACTGCAGGAAATAAATTAACTCAGAATATTTTTATTTCTCGGTTTCAACGGCTAATGCAATCGAAACTTACAAGAAGGGAAGTTGTTGGATGATATAATTGCTCTTTCAAAGAAGGATTTGTAGTAATAATCGTGTCCACTGCAGATGAATGTTACATCGTCTTGCTGACTCAGTGACGAACTAACAGTCATTATAGATTGTACAGAGGAGTAGGGACGATCGTATTCATTTGAGACCATAGATGAGAGGGTTATCCCTTCCACAATGGCAACAGTGTTTCTTCCAGATCTCAGTATTGTGTAAAAGTCGACACTCTCAGCAATCGGAAAACCCGTAACGATCCATCTCATGTCTAGCACGTCTTGAGCACTACATGTTACTGTTGCTGCTCCATTCTCCAGAGAACCAGTGACTATCATTGCAGCTATAATTATAGTGGAAGAGATCATTCGTAGCATTAGGATTAGCAGAGAACACTTTAAACTTACCACCAGAATATCTCAGTAGAGGAAAGCATAGTAGCAGGAGATACACAAAGCCTTGAAAGGATAAAAATGTTCAAACTACTTACTGACATGTAAAATCTCTATACCTTCCATCTTGTGGAGACCTCAATATACGGAGATATTATATACGTCTGGTGACTGAAGCAGAGACGACTGAAGCAACGACTATTGACTCTCAAGGGGTCTGCAGCTGTTTTATACTCTTGCATAAACTCTCACTAGACTCTGTGTACATTTAAAGATGTTGTGGTGTGAATCATAGTAAACGTGATTGTACATCTTCCACATGGTCATGCCCTCATGATCCAAATACAGATTCCAATTATTTTACTACAAGAGGAATGTCGGATTGTGGTGCAAACAATCATTACTCGAATCTCACAGATATCCGCCCTCTCAGGTCGAATTAATAGGACTTCAGTAAAAAAAAAGAGAACACAAACAAGTGAGAGAAATGGCAGCTGTTCTGTAAAACAAACACACCTACATAATTTCAACCACTCTAGTCCTCAAACCTAGACACCTAGTGACCAGCTCTTGCGTCCATATCAATCAGTGTGTGGGTTTACCATCTAGGTGGGTTTGATATCTGTATAATAATATAGAAGAAACAGGAGAATTGGGGTGGTGAGTGTGCTATATAGTGTGCATAATGTCACGCAGAGAATCAATAATGGTTAAAAAGTGTTTCTTTTCTGCAAAGTGGGGATTATTCTGCGGTCATGTTAGAATCACTTCATTTACGTACGAACAATATTTGTACAAATGTGGTAGCATGAGGTGTCCAACAATACTATGGTTAGAGTTCCTACCACAGAGGATGTCATGTGCTGCCTTCCTCAGGTGTAGTTACCATTTTGAGAAGCTCTTGGTATGCCAAACACAGAGTGTAGCTACCCTCATTCGTCATTCTATGCCTTGTTGCAAAAATACCAATTGAACAATTTTGCAACTGTGTACAACACACACAGAAGAGAAAGCCTGCAGGTGAAGCTATCGTTGCTCATATTTATGATCCTGCTATCAAGTTGTTGTAAGAAACTCCCCCCCGCTTCCCGCCTCGAGGATTTAAAAAGGCAAGTTTCCTAAGAAGGTCAAAACTATCATCCCGCACGAACCACCTGGTAAACCGGAATCCAAGGTCTGAAGAAGCTGCATGTATATACACCCATCTAGGGGCATAACACAGCCGTGGCTTCAGACCACACAGGATGACGACTTAATTGCTGCCTTTCTATAGCGTTCACCTGATGAGATATGACACACCTGGACATAGAAATGAGGAATATGTTGAGAATGCTACAACAGAGTAGATTTAGCCCTCAAAGCAGTATTAAGGGTCATCATTAATAATTATGCTGTGTAATACACATGATGTACTTGAAGACATAGTACTACGTATCAAATGGGTTACATAACTATGAGGCTATCTATCAGTTGTGGGCTCAGTTAGCAATTTATGTATGACCTTTTCCATGCGAACTCTGTCAACAATTAGCCCAAATGGGACCATTATGCAGATTTCCAGACTTCACACATTGTAAGGTGGGTTTGTTGCCAGTGTGGAGGTTTTGTCCAAGCTGAGAAGAATGAGGCGATGTATGGCCAGTGCCAGTATCTGGTATGACATCTGCAGAGGTTGGTTGTGGTTGGAGAGCATTGGGGAATTGCCGCTACTGTTCTGCGATTGAGAGGTACTCTGGCTCACTCTCAGGGATCACCCAAGGAAGAGAGAGAAGAAGCAAAAGAGACAGGAGTTCTGTAAGTATGTCATAATGATGTAGGCCAAAACCATTGAGGTCCGGGAGCCTCGAGAGTTAAAACGAGAAATATTGTCCACCTCCCAACTTGTGCAAGTTTGTTTACAACTCAGTGTCTGTGTACAAGAACCACTTTAGTTTTGATAGTGTGTGTGTGTGTGTGTGTGTGTGACCTGAAAGAAAAACACATTCGGTACGAGGCACAATGTTAATGCATTAGTCCCCCCTTCCACTTTTAATGTGCCACCCACGTCTTCGTTCTGTATTATGTAGAGTACAGTTAGTTTCAAGGACAAAAGGTGACCGTGGTAGGATTGTCTTCCAAGCTTGAGACCACAACTTCAACAGCGTTAGGTTGTGATTCACCGTGATACTGAAAAAAGCACTAGAGAAAAACTTGTTTGTGCAATGACAACCATAGTATATATTGCTGGCATGCAAGTGTTCTGCAATGTTGATGCATCGATCATCATAATACTTCCTCATTCCGGCCACCACTTTACACATGTAGCATCTATCTATCATGCAGTGTCATTACTATGTGGTTAGGTTTGACCACAGAGGAGTCTACTCTTCCCATAGAGTCATTAGAAGACACACATCTGTGAATCACAGAAGTGTGTAGGGAGTAAATTCTTTTGCTCTGATTCACCCACAAAGCAAAACAAAGTCATAGGCTATATACACTGCAGGAGACTTTTAGCTATGTTTACTCATGAAGGAGTGACAGGATGAATGAAGGTCATCACTGTGTTGAGAAGCCTAGTAATTTTCCTTGCCTTAATAGTCCACAGATGATCACTGAGCAAATGTATGGCAGTCTCCATCTGCTGGTTTACGACTGAACGCCTCTAAGTCAGAATCCACGCTAGAACGCAACGACACCTATCCCCCGGAATTGCAGGCGAGCAGCTCATGTCCAACTCATCTACATTAAGGCATAGGGGAAATCATTCAATGGAACTTGCACATCTTTACAATGATTAGGTTTAAAACACTACATTCTTGTATCGTTAGTCTTTATCCACTGTCTCAGTGTGGGTGACAGTAGGGCCTTCCCTCCATTATCTTCTCTCATGACTCGGAATGGCATCTCGATTAGTCATATAGGCACTGTTTTGCGTCATTTTCATGCCTCCAGACTTTACTACTACGTAAGAAGGATTGGCAACCATTGGCACTTGCTGGTGCATGTTTTGCAGATGTGACGATGTTAATGAGACATATTCAGGTTCATTGTCGGGAATCACTCCTGCAGAGCGTGCCCGTGGTTGGAGAGTGCTGGACAAAGCAGAGTTCTGCTGTCCAATGTTAGTAATAGAGAGATATTCCGGCATACCCTCGGGGGAGAGGCTGTTCGTATTGTCAGAGGTGTGGCGTTGATTCCGACCCAAGTTTGTGATGGACAAATACTCTGGTTCAACGGCAGGTTCGGTGGCATCGTTGTCAGTTTGGGAGCAAAGGGAGGATGTCTGGTGGGGAAGGGAGAGACCTGCGACTGGTGCGGTATTGTAAAGATCATTATCGATCAAGTGTGACCCCTGAGGCTTTCCAGTAGGGGAACAGGTGTTGCTGCAGCTGGGCTTGTTTATTCTGGTTCTCTTCTTGTAGTAACTAAGCCCAGAACCAGGATTAGTACTATGCCAAGGATGACGATGACGCCCACTGAAATGATTACTATCAGTATCACAAGAGATATGTCTTCAGAACCACTTGTTGGAGAGCCTGATAGGGAGAATAAGATTCTAACTCTCATCACTATAACCAACTTTTTCTTCTATTACCTGTCACATACGTGCCACTTCCTTCGTCTTCAGGTGAGTCACTAGTATTTGGAGGATCTAATGATAAAAGAATCTCACTAGAGGTACGCTATGAGACCATTGTAACTCACTTGTCACCGTGCCTCCATTACCGCCAGCTTCACTTGTTTCTGGAGGAACTATAATGACGACAAATTGTCTACCCTCATGTCCTGAACTGATCAAGGTAAGCAATAATATTCCCTTACTTGATGTGGTTGGATCTGCGTCAGTAGACAGCATGGTGGTTGGTTCACTATCTGCAGTTGTTGTGGGGCCTGAAAGAACATTAGTTGGTGGATTCCCGTCTAAATTCCTGGCAGACTTACTTGTAGGGGTTGAGGCACTGATATGCACACTGGTCCCACCACCAGCTGAACCAAACATAGTACGGGCAGTGCACGAAATTTCCAAGAGCACATTCTCCGTCATAGACATCTAGCTGTACTTGGAGATTGCTTGTCATTACTTCTCAAATCACAGCAGCAAAAAACTGACCTTTCTCTACATCATACAACAAGTGGTTGGCTACAAAAGGTACTTGTTAGCTACTCACCGTTCAAAAAGACTTGTGCTGATTCAAGAAAGGCTGAAATCACCTGTGACCTCAGACGAGAGAGTTATCCCCTCTGCAATCACTCGTTCCTCTGCTAAGAATGGTGTTGAAATTTACAGGCCATCGGGTGTCAACAGCAACTCTTTTATCCTCTCCGCATGGCCCGACATTAATTACGAGCCAGTCTGTAGTCTAGTAGTTATAGGCAAGAATCATATTAAGTGTAGTCACTGCAGTGCTTCCAGTTCACATAAAATGCCTAACTGGTAGCTATACTAGAACTGGCTTCAAAAAAATGTTTAATCAGTGATGATGAGCGTCAATGTGGGTGGAATCCAATAAGAGGTGTCTTACCACTTCATGAGCATTTTAACTGTTTGGTGAAGTTGGCAACTACAAGTACATGAAGGAAGTGATTGCACACGCTATGTATGTATACATGTGTAATTTTGAAATTTCCTTTAGTTTGCATTGCAATTGTAATGGTCACTGTGGAAAAGCACTCATAATTTGATAAGTTGCTAAACAAGAAGGTAACATCACTACACCACAAATTGTAGTCGTGTACATTCACATCTAGCTATCAGTTTTCTGAATGAGCATGCGGCGTCGATATTTATGGAGCAAAGAATGTGTAATTGGATACATGAGCATGAATTCTTGCGTAACCAAGCGAGAAACGAGCGCCGTTGAGTTAGAATTGCGGCTCATTACACACAGTCACGGCAAAAGCATCCAAGAGTCAGTCCAGATTGCGGAGTGTTCATTTGCCGTCAACAGGACGCCCCTATCGAGTCGGTGAACTAATATAGCCAGTGGAGCTAACTTCGACACCGCACCTATACGCAACTGGAAAAAGTGGGTGGGGCTCGTCGACGAGCTACAACAGCGCAGTCATAACAAGGTTTTGCAGCAGTAGTCTCTACTGATTCCAGGGTGGAAGAATGGCACAGCACCACCTTCTACTAGCTGCTCTGCTCCAGCTACTAAGAATAGCATCTGGTGAGAAAGAAGCAAGCTGCAGATTCTAGCTAGTAGCCATATTCATCTGTTTCTCTTCAAATTTCAAAATCCGCAGGTGATGGTGAGATGTCTCTGGTCCTGCCGGAAACTGGCTACTGTGGAGAGGCAATCTCAGGGAATTGTACTGCTAGAGACTCCACGAGGCTGACTCTGGATATATCTGGACTCAATTATCACACATTCACTCCAGAGGGGAGCCAGAAATCAGTCGTTCTCGAGGGCGTCTCACTAGATGTGGTGGAGCTTACGCCAACCCAAGACAAGTTTAAGTTTGTAGTGTCCATCTCGTACACCCTTGAGGAGACACTTACCATCAGCTGCAGAAATGACAAAGTAGACGAAATCCACAAAGTCCTACTGCAAAGTAATAAAGTACGCACTGACACACACCACACAAACACATAGCTCTAGTTAATGCCTCGATTTCACTCTAATTTGTAGCAATTTCTTTTTATCTACAGGTGGCAACTGTTCGTCGCCACTCAAATATGTCGCAGACTCTTCAATGATAGTGTGGGAGAGACCAAAGTGTCTAGGGTGGGAGTCGGTCCTAGTTTACACCATCAGGATTTCGACCGAGGGAGGCATTATTGAGCGCTCTACTGACAAGAACAGCTACGTACTTCCAGACAGGGTCAAGGGAGTAGTCAATGTCAGTCTCAGTGTGGAGAACCACTGTGGAGAGACGACCCAGCTAGATAGACAGTCTGTGGACACCGAGGCCACTGGCACAGGTGAGGTTGAGTTCTTTGCATAGAGGGGTTTGGGAATCATGTAACTTTTGCAGGTGGTTTGGCTGGAGGTGGTGGAGGTTCCAGTGAAAGTGGTGCAGGAGAACTGGAGAAATCTCTGATGATTTTCTTTTTCATTGGGTTGGCTCCTCCCGTTCTGCTGCTGATGATCGTCTTTATCGTAGTTGTTGTAAAAAAGGTCAGCTCTTGTATCAGTCAACAGATCACAGACTAATAATGAACGTTTCTTTCAGATTTGTTCTGACAGAGAATGATATACTCTTAACAACACCACAGAGTTAGCTAGTTCATAGCCATTTATTTGTGTCTGTTTCACCATTATGTAGTAAAATTCACATATTATAATAGATATATATGTCCTTTTGAAGCCCTCATTGGACTATAATTATAATAATATGGTCAATAGACCTCTCATTCATCTTTTCATGAAACTGGTGGGGGAGGGGAGGAATATCAGAGAATGTATATAACTGTCCACCACTACTAGTAAAGTGGCATACTCAAAACATTGCTTAATCCATGCATTGGCGTAAGAACATTATTTTAATTTACTGATGATATATACAACTGGCAATGGCTAGCCCTGCATCACAGCTGCACTTGTCCATAAGCAGTGTTGTGAGAGGTGGGAATGTTGTCCTTGGGTACTGGACCGTATGCCTCATTGGACGTCAGCTGAATGTCTTGTGAACTCTTGACCTCTCTTGCCACACCCACCTCCTCATAGGTGACTGGTGGAGGGAGGGGAGGGGGAGAGGAGGAGGTGGGGTCTAGACATCATGCCCCTCACTCTATGTATGAGGTACAGTCCCACCATTCCCAGTAGAACTCCAATAGTTAGAAACATAAGACTGCACACCACGCCAATGACTATGGCTGTTGTCTTACTGACATCATCAAGTTCTGCTACTATAATTATAGATTGAGCATAATAATAGTAACGAGGTAAGCACTGCAGCTGGCCAATTGTACCTTCTCTCTCCACGCATTGAGGAGTGGTTCCATTCCAGAGGCCACTAGACTGACATTCTCTGGTAGTGTCTCCCTCTAGACTATAGCCATCATCACAGAAGTAGACTGCCACTGATCCTACACTGTCTCCACTGTAACACACCCCACCACCACTCACTGACCCACACACTCTGTTCTCCTCAACCAGAGAGGGAGACAAGTCCCTCAATGAACAATTCTTCTCTATTAAGGTGTTACAAAAACAGATGATAACACAGTTCCCAAAGAGTGTTTTTAAAACACACTGATGAATGCTTTTCTGTGTTTAGTAAAGGAAAGGCAAACAAAGAAGGAAAACATAGACCTTACTTGGTGGTTTAGGTGGTAAGCATAACATACAGAGAATGTAAAGCATGCAGAGTATAAGATACATGTGACACCAGCAGAGTAACTATCACTGGTAGTTGTATTGGATCACCTCAGTCAGTGCAATCCAATACTGCATGTTTAAACCACTAACTGTTAGGATCTGATGTGATATCATCAGGGTCTGGTGTGACGTCGTCAGGGTCTGGTAAGACACAGACTAGGTCCATTGGCTGAGGGGACCACGATGAGTTGAGACATTGAGATGACATCCTCTCATTAGGAGTGTATCCATCATGACAGTGGAACTGGATCTCTGCTCCCTCCTCTGTGCTCCTGTACTCCTCAATACTACCATTGACTGGTGATGGTGGAACTCTGCAGCCAGCTGGGGGAAGAGGAAGTAGAATAATGGAAGATTCTGTTGTAGTTCGCGCCGAGTGCGCGTGCCACAGAAAGCATCTCAGCCCGAGTAGTGTATTAGAACGATAATATCTCTTTCTTTCAAGTCGGCAAAACAAAAGGTCTGAGTAAGACTCTGCATGGTACAAACTGGTGGCTATTTCTACTAAATGTCTATGCTCTAGGTAAGATGGGGAAAAAGAATGAGGAAAGAGATGTGACTGAATGCCAGTGAAGTGACTAAGTGGTAACTATTTCCTCCCTAGATAGAGAGATAGTGTTGTGAATGGGTGATACTTTAGGCCATTCCACAACCATTATATATAGCTCAACTGCACCTTGTAAAAACTCCAGTGTTGTGGTGTTTTCTTCATCAAAACAGTTGGCAAATGGTGATAGCAAGGCTGTATCTGGTGTTATATTTCAAGCCCGGTATGGAAATATCCAAACCTTCTGCTGTAAAGTTCATGACAAGAGTGTCATCGTTGTAGAGGTTTAATGAGTACAATCTCTTTTGAGCCTGTAACTGCAGTCTGAATGAGTACTCACCAATACCACCTGTGATGTTTTCCTTCATTATAATGGGCAATGGTACCACTGCAGTTGATAACAAATGTGTGATAATCATGCAGCATTATCAGTATGTTGAGCACTTACATTGCTTCTTGATGAGAATCTGTTCGTTATTTAGACCATTACTGCAGTTCACATATTTCCCAATATTATCATTGCTAACAACCACAGCAAGGTCAGAAGTGAGGTTTCCTAACAGTGGGTGTGTTGGGTCTTTGTCTACATTGACCAGAGTGATGTTAGCCACATCAGGTAATGATCCTGGGCCTGGTTCACTCCCTGGTTCATCCTGTACAGTAAAGAGTCTCACACGAACGGTACCCAGATACCACTCAAGTAACCCATGTCTAGTCACTGTACACCTAAAGACTAGCACATCTCCGAGACATGTTCCTTCACCATTTTGAGTAGATGATAGGTTGATGCTAACAGTAACACCTGGAACAATGGTTGTCCTGATCACCGGCAACCCCTGAACTTTTATCATGCTTACCTGGTAGTAGTGTCAACAGTACCAAAAGCATCTTCGTGTAGGTGTACATGCTGCTAACTATTGATGAAAATAGTGAGTCGCAGCCGCCGGAACAATGAACTTGATTGCTACGAATTTGAGTCTAGTTTCTTGCAACAGCTATTGCCGGCTCGGCGCGGATAAGCGGACCCAGCGCGCAACGACTTCTCCGGAAGCCGCAAAAGTAACCGCGCCCCTACGTACGCGCAAGTCATGCGCCACGTGTTCGCGAGCGTAACTTGCGTGTGGTTATGTAACTATCACAAGGCTGCTGATTCAGCTCGACCAAGGAACCGCTAAAAATGTCAGCGGACCCTTTACCTCTGGGCAGAGGGCAGAGTGTCTGGGCACGAGCTATAATTATAGTGACATGAGCGTTTTCTTATGACACGCACACCACCTTAAAAAATGCACACTACTTTTAAACCACACCACCTCTCTGTCAAAACCACCACGTGTTGATAATAATAACCTGTGGGCAGTGGCTAATTTTCTCTGGGTAGCTTCTAAGTCCCAAATCTCTGTTCCCTCCTCTACTCCTCAATACTACCATTGATTGGTGATGGGGGGAAGATGATAATAATGTCCTACGCAGTACCCAATGATTACACCCTCTAACTATGCTACTTAGTGATAAATGAAGGGAAAAGACAAACGTTATTCTGATAAACTCACCCTCCACACTAGTCAGAGATAGCTACAGGGAGCCAGGAGCCAGCACAGTTGTTGGCAGTGATGATGATGGAGTAGACAGTGGAGTAGTCCAGTGAGAGAGGTAGCTCCAGAGACTCAGTAGTTGTCTGGACCACAGTCTGGTCCTCCTGGTAGAGAGAGGGGGTGTAGTTGTCAATCTCCACCCCTCCGTCATCTCGTGGACTCTCCCACCCAACTACCAGTGAAAACTGAGATATTCCATACACCACTGATGATGTCAGGTTCCAGGGAGGTGAACTAAAATAGGACGTAATTAAACAACTCCTTGTGATTGTCTTGTTCGTACCTGTATCTTTATGTATGATGGTACAGAAATATTGTTGCTTGAATTTTAATGGGATATATAGTCAGTCTGAGGGAGAGGTTAACGTGTGTGTGGTATGTTGAAGTTAAGTCACCCAGGAAAGAGTAGCTATATACTGCTGGTCTCGAGAGTAGTTTACCAGAGAGGCAGTGAACTGTCAGTGGAGTGAGTAGTGAGAGATGATTTATCCGCCAATTAGCACTTGATCCAATGACCCAGGTCGTCCCAGGCACAGCACAAGTCAGAGCGACATCTTCTCCAACACAAGCTGACCCATCGGAAGACAGGATGTTATCACTTGCCCCTGTTCATAGTCATTACTAGCAACTATTATGCCACAGGACAGCAATGCGAAGAGATAATTCAAACTGGTGGTAGTTGTACACCCCATAATCTGTAGCGGTACATTTCATTCCTCCGATCCCCCGGATAAATTCCTGGCGGGATATTCTATCCGCACCCGGGATATTTTATACCCGTGCTGTGCATTATTAGGAGGAGTGTCGAAACGCTCAACACGGTATACCATACCTACCAACCTGCAGATGAACCTTTTTGCTTGAGAAATGTGTGCAATTTTCTGGTGGGATAGACAGTATTTTTGAAGCAAAGAGCATGATGGTTGGTAGGTATGGTACAGTGCAGAAACAGAAACAGCGAGCAGCGACGGCGCCAACAAAATGGTTGATTTTCCCGCGCGTTTAGATGTGCAACCGTATGCCAGGGGCGGATCCAGGATTTTGTTTGGGAGGGGGCAACGGCTGCGCATAAACTGTTAGAGGGATAAAATATCCGGACCCAGGATACTCCACACTAAGAGTATACTATCCTCACGGATTATAATATACTATCCCCCTGATAAAATATACGGGGGGATAAAATATACCCAAGAGAGAAGGCAGACGGTCGGAGATTGAAGGTCCCGTGCTTTCTTGCTGACCTCGAATGAGTATACCCGAGTAAGCTATGAATTATTGCGACACGGGTATACTGCCATATGAGGATAATAGTTGTAGTAGTTAGTGGGTATAGCGCCTATATAAACAAAAAGAATACAGCCTTTAACAGGAGCCGGCAATACCGCGTGAGAAACGTAGCGCTTGTAGGAGTGGAGAAGGATCTGTGGGCCGTGTAGGGAAAGATTTTTATTAGCAGAGAATAGTTGAAATGGGCAAATATGGTACAGACTGTTAAACTATGATTAGTCAGAAAGAAGTGATGTTGAACATTTTTGTGGTTAAAATTTATTCAAAACAACCCTGTTTACCTAGGGACAGTAGTCTATGTGTAGTCTCATTCCCAGACCCCATCCCTCTGCGAGGGAAAGAGTCTGGGTAAATAATACATTATGTTCAAGATCCTGAAGCGGTACATATGAAAGTTGTTGATAAACTAAAGTAGTGAATGTTGGTGGCGTTGGGCTGAGTTCACGTAGAATCTGGAGCTAGCTACTCCTCTTATTTTAAGGCCCACATGTGTGCAAGTGTGCACTAGTTATTGGAGTACAGCCCTACCGACCGCGCGTCAAACTCCCGACGGGTTTTCGTGGGGATGAACAGTAGCGCTTGTAGGAGTGGAGAAGGATCTGTGGGCCGCGTAGGGAAAGATTTTTATTAGCAGAGAATAGTTGAAATGGGCAATAATTGTTAAACTATAATTAGTCAGAAGGAGGAAATGTTGAACATATTTGTGGTAGGAATTTAATCAGAACAACCCTGTTTACCTAGGGACAGTAGTCTATGTGTAGTCTCACCCCATCCCTCAGCGAGGGAAAGAGTCTGGGTAAATTATACATTATGTTCAAGATTCTGAAGCGGTACATACGAAAGTTGTTGATAAACTAAGGTAGTGAATGTTGGCAGCGTTGGGCTGAATTCACGTAGAATCTGGAGCTAGCTACTCCTCTTATTTTAAGGCCCACATGTGTGCAAGTGTGCAAATGTTACCACTGCTTACGTACAGTATTGGGACACAAAAGCTGTGTATGCTTCACAGCACCATTACAACTCCTGAGAAGTCACGTCAAATACACTCTAGCCTCTAATTGCCTGTGATTGTAACAACATCACTTCATAGTTCTAAGATGGCTTTTTCTGCATGATGGTGGGGTTGGCAGGGATGAGACTAGCCTCGGTCCCAAGCCTTCCTCCTGATGAGAATAGTGTTAATGTGTGTAGCACTTGCACCCATGTGCTGCCATTGTACTGCTGGTGTGTTGTACATATGATCCTATTCATGTGAAACACCAAGATGATTGGGTCATTCACTAGGTAGGTACAGCAAGGATCAAGTGTAGTGATGTATATACATAGCTACATAGATGTCTCTGAAATATGCAGAGTGTATGGTGTTGGGGCGCAGTTGACATTGGTATTCTCTTGTGCCATTCAGAGGAAAATGCTGGTATATAGTGCAAGATCTTTTTGCTGGCTCAGGCCTTAGAATAATGTTTATAACTGTTGGTGTCTTGAAAAGTATGTTTTAGGGAGACTTGTTTAATTTGAGCCAAGAAAACTTGTATGTGGGAGTAAGGTCATTTCTGCTGTATATATAATATTGTCTGTAGTCCAAGCTCTGGGCTGACAGGAAGTCCTTATCACAACATCTTGGCTTTCAAAGTTTAGACAACAGTCATTAGCACCACCCATGTATGGAAGGATGTGGGAGCAGAAATTCAGCATTGTGACTTTGCTATATGGTTGACTACAAGCAGTAAAGCCGGGCTTCTCAGCACCACAGGATATCCTCTCAGCTCGTGACTCTATACCACCTTGGAGCCTCACCACTTAATGCTTACATCATCAGCTGCTGGCCGTGAAGAAAGAGTCCCTTTACTCCCACACAAGGCATCTAAGCAATGACCCGTATTAGGTGCTTAGCATTCTTTGGTGAAGTGGGAGTGTTTGTTCATTTGTTATGGAGTACTGTTTACAAAGCATAAAGTTCAGAACGGATCCAAGTCCAGTCCATCTAGCAGACTATCCAGAAGATACGTTCATACTGCCTGACGGTACTGTGCCAAGTACCATTTCATGTAGATAATACCATGTGATGCCCAAGAGAAAAAAGAAAAAAGAAGGAGCTCTGGACAGCTGTTTCGGCTGGTGCGCCCTCATCAGCAGCAGCATATCCACAACTCATGTATAGTTATTTGTACAAACTATACATGAAATGTATATACGTGGCACAGTACCAGTGAGGCAGCTGTCCTGCCCTTCTCCAGTCAGGTATGGCTAGGGACTATATAGAACTATGTTTTTGTGACACTACGTAGCGCTGCCTTAGCAGGAGGCTCTGTGCGCCGCTAGGAGCTCAACTTGTGGTGTAATGTTTATATCTACATAATTATTAATTGTAGGTATATGATGACTGCGGTGATTATTTTCCTGCTGGCATTGTGTGGGATGCTTTTTGTTTCACCATCTGTTGCAGGATGGTTTTTGGTGTGTCTAGCAGCTCCTGAAATTGTCTACCTTCCACAAAAATGTAGCAAAATTGGCTGTGTCACAGCAGTAGGGTGGGTAGAGCTTTTTCTTTCTATCTTTCGTACGTTCATACTCTTCACCGTTCATAGTCTACCAAGGGTGTGAAATTGGGAGCGAGATGCAGATTATTTAATCTGGGGTAACTCGGTGAAGAGAGCTATCCGTGCCAGTGCTTGCATACTTGCATAATACTCTGCGTTGATTGTTGTTGAATCGTCCTATAGTTTCCACATGCAATGTTAGCCAATTAAGTGTGTCATTAATTTCTAGTCACATGATTTTCCCCATTCAGCTAGGTTTTCTGATACTTGCTTTTGGTTATTATCGAGTGACTCCTAAAAACCTTTTTGCCTATAGCATGGGTGTACACCTTTTTAAAGTGTGCAATATCTGTGCAAAGGCGTGTAAATACTCCACACCTAGTGTTGCAAAACTAAGTTAATGCATAAATTTCTAAGTCATGCGACCAGAAAAAATTGTGTATAAACTGCTCTCATTCTTACAGTGAATGTTACGATTGAGCACAAAAGTGATGGATGCTGTGGTCAAGAACAGATTGTTTTGTGTAAAGCTACAGAAACAACAATAATTAATGTATTGGTAGGGGGTGAGCTACTCGCCTCCTACACTTACCTAAAGAGAGAGCAAATTATTGATAAAGATGGGTATCGTATAAGGGCAACAAATGCAACAATGGTGACAGAGTTCGTCAGTAATTTCGATATAGAAATTGTCTTCAGGACCCTGTCTGAAGAAGTTTCGATAACATGTGATGTTATTGTTTTCTCCGTCACTAAAAACATCACAACAAACAGTAGGTTTTGTTAGCTGAAACTGTAATCATGTATTTTTTCTTCTATTATAGGTTTAAATTGCCTGAGTATCGGACCTTCTATAACTTCATTTATTTCAATAATGGAAAGTAAAGATGGTGTCACTGTCTCAACGAGGCTACATGAAGTGATTGAGCCAAGTGTACTGTCAACTCTCAACTGTGCTGCAACTCTTGAGTGTTTGAACTGCTCATCTCTTTCGAAACATGACATGATCTTGGAACAATGTAAAGCAAATGTGACTCTTGATGGTGTCGAAGACGGCCAATATATGCTGAGTTTGACAATTTTTAGTGATTGCGGGGAAAGAATTGTGCCACCTCCAACACTTGTAACCCTTGGAGACGGTTAGTTCATGGCCTAGAGTAGAATAGCTGGTTGGATGTTAATTAATTTCACAGGTGAGACTGTCACTATCAAAGGGAGCAGCCCAACAGAGACTAGTGCTGGCATCCTCATTGTTGCTGTATTATTCTTACATGCTTTTTTATGATTTTACATCCTCTGTTTTGTTTGTAAAATGTTGTGTGCGGTTCTCCTCGCGCTCGCTTTCCAAAAATGCCCGTGTAGACATTCGTTCATAGCATTATGTATAGGCATTAGTCATAGCGCGAGGACAGTAGGCCCCTCGGCGCAACTGCGCAGCGAGGTCATCTGCGTGTGATATACGTACGTCTGTCTGCCACCACGACGCGCAACAAACCGGCCTAAAAACGATACCAACGGGTTCATCGCCACACTTGTTTGATTTTGAATTTTGCGAATTTCGTAAAAGTACTGCGTTCCAGAGTTAGCTATGGCTGAAACAGCGCTAGTGCTAATTAGCACAAGCTTACTCGACCGGGTCCGCTTGCTCTTGCCTATCTTAGCTGAAGAGAAAAAAGACGTCACAACGAACAGACGCCGCATTCCTCATCTACTACACGTGTAGCATCCCGTGTCAGACACTCGGCTCTACACAGCTAGTCCAGTCGAGTAATTGCCGAGCGCATTAGCGCGAGCAACTACTGCGGGTTTATTTTATTTTTAGAGAAAACAGAGCAATTATACAAAAACCCAAAAATATATTTAAGAAGGATAGAGAGAACACTCCGGTTGCATTCTCGCGATATGCGTACGTACGTATATACATGTAACGTGTCGTCAATTAGTCACGTTTAGGAATTAATTAGTCACCAAAAGGAAGTGGTATCCGTCATTCGTAGGAAGTCTAGCTTCCGCCGTGCGCGCAGATTCGTAGGAAGTCCGGCTTCGCGCGCAGTCAGTAGAGAGCGCGCAAGAGCGGCCTCAATCGACTGTTTAACCAGCATAAACTAATTAGTTTTCCGGTGTAATTCTCCGCCCCTAGCTAGAAGTCGTGCCTTCTCCGCTTCGGGCGAGCCGGTTATTAATAGCATAGATATTACAGCGGAGGACCATCTAATGTTATCCCACCATCTTCATGGAGAGTGAGCATGTACAACAACACGAAGATACTTTTGGTACTGTTGACACTACTACCAGGTTAAGCATGATAAAAGTTCAGGAGGTTGCCGGTGATCAGGACAACCATTGTTCCAGATTTCCTCTTACATCAACCTATCATCTACTCAAATTGTGAGAAGGAGCATGCTTCGAGAGATGTTCTGTGTCTTTAGGTGTCACTGTGACTGGATTTGGGTTACTCTTGTGTGGTAAATATCTGTGATACTGTTCGTGTGAGACTCTTTACTGTACTGGATGAACCAGGGAGTGAACCAGGCCCAGGATCATTACCTGGTGTGGCTAACGTCACTCTGGTCAATGTAGACAAAGACCCAACACATCCACTGTTAGGAAACCTCACTTCTGACCTTACTGTAGTTGTTAGCAATAATACTATTGAGAAATATGTGAACTGCAACAATGGCCTAAAAAGCCAAGGTATTCTCATCAAGAAGGAATGTAAGTGCTCAACATGCTGACAATGCTGCATGATTATCATGCATTTGTTATCTACTACAGCTGTACCATCACCCATTATAATCAAGGATAACATCACAGGTGGTATTGGTGAGTACTCATTCAGACTACAGTTACAGGCTCAAAAGAGATTGTACTCGTTACGCCTCTACAACAATGACACTCTTGTCATGAACTTTACAGCAGAAGGTTTGGTGGATATTTCCATACCAAGCTTGAAATATAATACCAGATACAGCCTTGCTATCACCAATGTCAACTGCTTTAATGAAGAAAACACCACACTGCTGGAGTTTTTACAAGGTGCAGTTGAACTGTAACAAAGAGCATCTTGAACTGTTTCTCCTCTTCCCCCCAGCTGGCTGCAGAGCTCCACCATCTCCAGTCAATGGTAGTATTGAGGAGTACAGGAGTACAGAGGAGGGAGCAGAGATCCAGTTCCACTGTCATGATGGATACACTCCTAATGAGTGGATGTCATCTCAATGTCTCAACTCATCGTGGTCCCCTCAGCCAACAGACCTAGTCTGTGTCTTACCAGACCCTGACACTCATGTGTTACCAGACCCTGATAATGTCACACCAGACCCTGATAATGTCACACCAGATCCTAACAGTTAGTGTTTTAACTGTGTATCTAAACATGCAGTATTGGACTGCACTGGTCGACTGAGGTGATCCAATAATACTATACAACTACCAGTGTTATGATAGTTTCCCAGTACTCTGCATTCTCTGTATGTTATGCATGTTGCTATTTTTGCCTTATAGTTACATGTGAAGCACCAATAAACACATCAACAACATTTTTCAAGTCGGAAGGATCTTCGGTAATGATCTTCTGCGAGGATGGGTACTTCATAGATGGAAGTGTGACAAGTACATGTGTCAGTAACGGTTCATGGGTACCTGACCTTCTCAGAATCCAATGTGAACCAGGTGTGTTCATTTTTATTCAACAGCCCACCTTCCCCATTACTGCTCGTACAGGTAATCATGGATCCACAAGTGCCAAAAAAGGAAGAGAGCTGGTTATAGTTGGTGCTTCTTCGGCAGTTTCACTACTATTTTTGTTCATTGTTGGAGTGGCTGTTGTGTTTTGCTGTTGCAGAAGAAAGATTGGTAAAACACTATGTGACTATGACTGTATACACATAATTATACACATGCACACCCATAAACACACACACACACACACACACATGAGCATCCACACACACGCGTGCTCCATGTACAATAAAGTCACTAAGCTGACTGAAAAGAGTTTACTACCCACAAAGCTCATCATAATAATGTTGTCATTAATGTTCCCCCCAGGATCCAGAGTAAAGAGAAAGAAGCGTACAGTTGCCAATGAGTGAGGTTTTTGTAACACAATCAGGACTAGTGTTTTTGCTCTCAGGGACTTAACATGCTCTATACCTATTCAGATATACCGAGATGCTAGCTACATCTCCTCCACCAAGTGGCACAGCAGGTGGTAGGACGACAACGCCATTCACTTACCATGAACAAATTCAAGACCCTGTGAGTCCATCAGACTCTCCTGGGCGATACACAATCACCCAATCCACCACCAGGGTAAAGTACGATATACAAGTTTAGGAGTACATATCATGTTACCAACTTGTGTCAACAATGTTGAGTAGTGGTCTAACTGAGCAAGAGTGTTGACTCTGAGGCAACATTGCCATAAGCTGCTACCACTAGCTAGCTATTGTGGGAAACATGGCCTGTCACATTGGTACCGCACTGTCTGCCCGACTGCACAAGTAACTGTTCATAAACTTGTCTGTTGTCATGCTATGGTTATGTCCTCTGTTCTGTTAGCCACTATGGGTTGTATGTTATCACCACAGCTTATGTCAGTAGCTAACTGATTGTATATAAGATATCAGAGTCTTATTCTGTTGAGCCCAATCTCTGTCAGACTTCACTGTCAGCCGCGCAAAGAGGAACCGTCGTTACCCACGATCGCACTGGACTAGGAGTGTTGCTACACTATGTACACATTTCATGCAGTCTGAAAAAAGTGCAGAGCTGCATCAGCATGTTAAAATATCTTTATTGAGACACTGATTACCTACCACTTAACACCTGGTCTTGTGTGCACACTCATGGTACTTTGTTTTACTCATGCACACATGTCCCCCACAGGCCACAAATGATTGTCCTCCAGCCCCAGGACTACAAGCCTCTCCCCTCTCAGTCCACACATCTGAACGAGGAACCCGTCTCTCCCTCCAGACCAGAGTCTCCCGAGGGAACCCCTCCACCAGTACCTCCATACAGAGGATCATCTCCCGAACTTCACTCCTCTCTTTCTACACTCCCTCTCGTGAAAGTCAACTCCCCAGAGTCTATTGCCTGCGGTCCTACCGGTGGTGGGTCGAGTCTCTACTAAGGACTGCCTCTCTTAGTCTGGCTCCATATAAAGGCCTTTTGCCCATATACCCCTGATTGTTTTAAAATTGGCCTCGTATCTATAGTTTCACCATTATCTGCCTTATGGTTTAAGAGGTCTTGGTATTTTCTTGCAGACTGAATACAGGTTTTATTTTTGAGTGGGAGCGAGCTAACCTAGTGGTCAAAACAGCGTTCAAAATACGCTGTACACTGTGTATGTATGCATTTTGAGAATGTTATTGGTCCTGTGGTGTGAACACTAATTTAGGTGGTGTCAGTAAACATGGTTAGTGGGCTCGTTCAACAAAAATGCCCTACAGTAGCTATATACACTCCCCTCACCACCTGCAGCTTCCTACTATGGTTCCCAACCTGTCCCTCCAGAAGATCCTGCTCCCCCTAACCTACCCCCCAGACCTCCTGCCAAACCTCCTGCCAAGGTGACAGGCAAACATGTACGTACTGCAGCAATATGGTCATGTTATTTACGGCCAGAGATAGTGGTGCGAAGAGGGAACTTTCAATGTTTGGTACACGGGACTTCCTTATTCGAGGCGGAAGATTAACACTTGGCATATCTCTATACACAATCAGTTGCATTGTAGTGTGCTGGTTGCTGGATTGACAATGAACATTTCTGGACAGACAACTAGCCGACCTGGAGCTTTCCCCCTCGTGGTTCAGAACATCACTTTCTTTTGGATGTTTGGTTAAACTGGTCCTGCTATTGTTCCACACACCCAACTGGTTTTTTTACACAACTGCTATTGTTCCACACTTGCTCCCACTTTCTATCTTACACATCCCCAAAAAGCAACACTTATAATGCAGCTAATTTTGTTACTGGCTTTGTCTCGTACTAACTTGCAACACAACATCGTAATCAGTATTCATTTATTTAAACCATACTAAAGAAACCTTCACAGAGACTGGAGTATGCTGATGTAGTCCCCCAGCAGAGCAGCAGAGGGAATCCCGTACTCCCACCCCCTCCCAGTGGCAGAGATAACACTGTGTACAGTGAAGTAAGGACCGACTTGAAAGTCGATGTTGCCACTACTGTCAACAAATATGGTAAGCCACATAATATAGCTATATATACGTATCCAGCCACATATTATAGCTGTACGTATAGCAAGTGGGACACTTTTGAAACGAATTCTTGGGCAGGGCTCATCCATCTGAGGGCAAGCTTCTTTCTGTGTGGTTCTGCAAGCTGTTATTATTTTCTCCATCTCTCTACCATAGTTCGAACAAACATACATTATCTGAGGAGAGGGAGCATCTCCCTGCTACTATTATTAGCTATCAGTACTGTGCCACATTGTAGTTGAAGCTGTGGTGTGTTTCCTCTTCCTGCAGACCGTTGTGTAACACTGGATAACATCATGCGTCAGATAAGACCTTTGGCACATAAGTGGTCCGATTTTGCCAACTTCCTAGAATTGCAGGATCCCGGCATGCCAGACGTTCACAACGTGAGCTATTTAACATTACATTGCTACTTACTCTTATCGTGGGAAACAGCACTCTGATGAGGAAGCGCTGAAGGTCGTTGTCACCAGGTGGATGATTAGGACTGGGAATACCCCAACATGGGGGAAGGTGTCTGGGTTGGTGAGGCACAGTGGGTTCCCGGAACTGGCAGATGCTATCAACAGGGTCTATGTCACAGGTGGGGATGATTCAACTCTGTAGTCTGTTTCTCCCTCAATCTCTCCTCTGCCTGACTGCATGAGAATTTGAATGTATTGTCTGCCTCTCAGGCATCGTGACGGTGAGAAGATAAGGCTAGGTAAAATACACTCTTCAAAATGCTGTACTTTTGGACATGAACTCAAAAGCCACTGACCTCACATTAGAGCGACTCTTGTGACAAAACAGTCAACAGGAGTTGAGTTTAGCAAAAGCTTTGAGAAAAATAGGGAAACTCTGTCTG